CCTCCTCCTTCCTCCTTCCTCCTCCTTCCTCCCTCCTCCTCCTCTCCCCTCCTCCTTCCTTCCTCTCCCTCCCCCTCCCTCCCTCCCTCCCTCCCTCCCTCACTCCTCCTCCTCCTCCTCCTCCTCCTCCTCCCTCAAGCCATTTCGGCCTGCAGCTGGCGCGCGCGCGCGCCACGCGAGGGCCGAGGCAGCAGGGCGCGCACCATCGGCGGCGGCGGGCTGGGGCTCGCCGTACGTCGGTTCGCGGCTTGAGGGGGGCGGCAGAAGCCGCTGCTAAAGTTCCTGCTGCCCCAGTACATGACTCGGGGCCGCGGCGGCTGGAGTGACGCAGATGATCAAGCGACGTGGGGAGCTGCGTGGGGTGCGCCGTGGCGACGATCAGCATCACTGTCAACCTCACGCTCGTCTAGCCGCAAGCCGCCCAACACCAAGGGCAAGAAGCACACGCAGTACCTGGTATGCCCGACTTGTCCAGTGGGTAGTGGCAATTGGGTGTATTGCAACAGGGCAGGCAAACCTGGATGGACCAACTGCAAGACTTGTGGTCACGTGTGGCAACTACCATCCACGTCAACGATGCCAGCGGGAGGTCAAGCAGCTCCTGGTGCAGCAGCTCAGCCAATGGTGGACCTTCTCAGGAAGCAGCACCTCACGGCCAAGGAGCAAAACGACCAGACCCGCATGGATGAGATCCTCGCAGCTTGCCCCGAGGCAAAACCAGCTGAACCAGTCGCAGCACCAGAGCCATCAACAGGACAGAAACTCCAAGAGGCAGTCGCGGAGCTCAACCGTCTCCAGGAGCACCAAGACAAGCTGGCCAAACAGCTCAAGCGTGCTACCGAGTACCGCAATGACGTGCTCCAGAGGATCAGCACCAACGTATCCGAGCTGGCCGACACGAAGAAGCACTTCCAAGAGGCCAAAGCCGATGTCGGAGGAGATGCAGCCGAAGCACAGCCAGCCAAGAAACAGGACGACGCGGAGGAGGAGTTCCCGACCTTGGACGATGAGGAGTTGGCCATGCTGGACAGCAAACAGAAAGAGGAGTATGAGGCAATCCAGAAAGAATTCCAGAAGGCCAGGCAATACATCGACGGCAAGAAGACAGCAGTCATCAACGCGAAGAAGGCGCTCGACGCAGCTAAGACCATCAAGACCAAGGCTTGCAAGCGGCGTAAAGGAGAAGACGGAGCTGAAGCTAAACCACCTCAGGAACCAGCAGCAGCACCTGGCGAACAGGCAGATGCACCTGCGGCCGATGCTGGACCAGTTCAAACAGACCCAGAGGTGGAGCTCGCCAACCAGTTCGACCTCTCAGATGACGACCAGGTCAAGGCCTACCTCACGAAGCTGGCCCAGATCAAGAGCAGGACGAAGGTCATGGTCGCTACGCGGCAGGGCTCCTAACTACAGCCAGAAGTACGACGATGTTGAAGCCGAGATCGACGGCTTCCTATTATTAGCCTCTGCTGCGAAGGGGGATGAGCCCAGAGTGCCCACGCTTGCTGTCGAGCACGGCAAATCCCCACTCGCAGCAGAGCTCCATCGAGGACCATGTTGGTTCGCCAGGCCGCCGTGCCAGAAGCAGGTCTGGTTTGACGACGACGCTGACTACATCATCGAGAGTGCGTATACTCGGGCAGATGATGATAATGGCAGCGCGACGTCAGTTTCTTCTCGGGGATCGTCTACTTGTTCAAGCCCGTCGGCAGAGCCAGTCCGTGCAGGTTCGCAAGGTACTGGCATCAAGACCCAGACCGAAGGCAAGAACCAGCAGACCAATTCAGACGATGCGAAGCCCATCGTCACCATCTTCGTGGCCAACGTTACGCAGTACAACACGGCCGCCAAACTTTTCATCGAGGGCAAGAGCAAGCAGTACGACATCATCGCGCTGAGCGAGCACCACCTACGTGGACCAGCAGCAGAGGTCGAGGCTAGCCGACTCATGCAGTACGGGTGGCGATATCACGGTGCTTGGACGCCAGCGCGGCCATCGCCACGATCCACGACGGGCACCTTAGGAGGCACATGCATCCTTCGTCGGCGTCATCTAGATACGCGAGTACACCTGCCAGATGCGCAGGGCCACAGCATTTTCGCTAAGGATAGCCATGACATCACCATGGTAAAATGGCAGCACAAAGGACAGCAGATAGCAGTGATCACGGCCTACCTCACAGCATCCATCGGCTTCGCGGGTGAGAATATCCGTAAGATGAAGCACCTACTTCAGCTGACAAAGAGTTTGGGCAACATACCTTGGATAATTTGTGGAGACTTCAACAATACACCACAAGAGTTTGAAGCGACGCCTTGGCTAAGACTTCTTGGTGGATCAATTGTGGTACCTCAGCGCGTTAGCTACACGTGCAGCAGTGGAACGGGGCGCCTCATCGACTATGCCATCATCCCTCCAGACTTTCGGCCGTTACTCAAGCAGATCCGTAGCGAGCATGAGGTACCATGGTCCCCACACATCGGCATCGTTATAGAGCTATGGGCCCAGCCGTCGACGATCCTTATCCGCAAGCCTATGCTCCCAGCCAAGCGCCCCATACCCATGGCGGAAATTCAAAGAGAGAAAGGTATCAAGCGGCAACAGCGCGACCGCACCCAGTACAACGAAATGGCCAAGTACCTTGAAGACGACCTCTTGGACAGCAAGCTCCTGGACACGTACTTCACGCAGACTGTGGCCATGCGATGCGACCAGAATATCTGGGATGAGTGCAGAGACGAGGAGGCATCTTGCCGAATCCGAGGCGCGCCGTTGTGGGTGCAGAATTCGATAGCGTACAAGCAGGACCCGCGCATGAGTGAGTTGCTGGGTAAGTTGTATGGCAAGTGGGCGAATGCGGCGGAGCGGGCACTCTCGACCATCACGGAGGCACCGATCCACCCACGAGCGAGACGCGGGCAGCCAACACGCTACAAGGAGGTACCCTACCCGCAGCACATCGCAGGCAAGCCAACAGGTAACACTAAAGCGGACGAGCAGCAGCACACCAGCATCCTCTGGACGGCGCTCTATCAGCGTTGCCGAGACGGCGTTCTGCTCCCCCAAAGGTACCCGATAGAGAGCAAGCACCACTTGGACGCTGTCAGCCTCATCATCAAGAATGTAGTCACGCAGATCGACAAGCTTGAAAAGACCAAAGTAGCGGAGACCGACTACCTGGATGAGCAGGCGGCCCTTTTCGCCAAACGCGTCAGCTCCCTCGGCCACGACATCGGCCCCGACACGCACACGGAGAATATCACCGAGTGGCAGGATGCAGCAGCAGCCACAAGACATCGAATTGATTGGCATGTTTCGCAGATGTGGAAAAATATTCGTGAGCAAGTCGGCCAGTGGACGAGGACGGCGCTATCAAGTAATATGCGCGATGCTCATAGATATATCAGCAAACATGAACGACGAGATCTACCAGACATTGCCGTGGACCCGATCACCAAGGACGAGACGGGAGCACTTCGTGAGGCCACGGAGTGCCGAGCAGGAGTCTGGCAAACGCGGTGGCAGAGGCACAACAGCAGCGAGCAGTTGAAAGCGGCCACGGCAGAACTCAAACAAGCAGCTCAAGCCGACTTACTGCATCGAGAGTATTACGATATCCAAGATCTTGAAGCAGCGCTATCCAAATTTCGACCGACGACAGCACGTGGCCCAGACCAATGGCAACCACCAGAGATCAAGGCGCTGCCCGACGATGCTAAGCGCAGCCTCGTCTTTGTGTTAAATTCATGCGAACGCAACTTATGTTGGCCACATCAGTTTTATCACCTTTGGTATCATTCATTGGTCAAAGCTGGTTCTAACACAGCGGGCGAAGAGCGCCCCATTGGACTACTACCGTCCCCAGTCAGGCTCTGGGGCAAGATGGCCAACGCGGAGATGCAAGACTGGTGTTCAGAAAAGGCAGGCTATTGGGACGCTGCCATTCAGGGGTCATCAGCATTACGAGCAGCACTCTTATCAATGGCCCTTGATGAAGCCAGCGCAAAGCTCAAGGGATCGATCTACGGCACCTTCTACCTTGACATGGAGAAATTCTACGACAGTGTGGACCTCAGCATCTTGACCAGACGTGCTATGCAAGTCAATTATCCAGCCGTCAACCTGTACATGAGCCTCCTGATGTACTTATCACCGCGTGTAGTACGAGCCTGTCATGACCACGCTGAACCAATTTTGCCCATGGAACGGTATAGTGGCTGGATGTGCTGCAGCGAATCACGCGGCAAGAGCTATGGTGTACATCATATTGGACATCACCCACAATGCAGCGCCGCTTGCGTTAGCACGCGAGTTTGTTGACGATCTTCATATACGTGTAGAAGGAAGCGCTGAGGAATTCCAGCAGCAGTTCCCCGTCGCAGTCAACACCTTAGTGCAGGCCTGTCTGGACTCCAAGCTAGTAGTCTCGGGGAAATCGGCCCTACTCACGAACTGCATCACCACGAAGAAGCACATCGTGAAGCAGCTCAAGCAGAAAGGAATCAACATCAAGACACCGAAATACGTCAAAGATTTGGGTATTGATGCAGCTCTGGGTCGCCAACGTACCACGTCTACGCGCAATGCCAGATGCAAGCAGGCTAGACAAAGAGCTAAAAGGGCCAAGATTTTCAGCATGCAAAAAAGACGTTGGCGACGCAGGACGGCCATGTTATTCAACTCAAACGTTCGGGCGAAACAAAGCTATGATTGGCCTATCGCAGGTCTCAGCCCAGCTGCAGTGCGCGACGCACGAGCACAGGCAGCATATATGACTGGCTTCAGTACTGGTGGCAGGTGTACGTCAACTATCAACGTCATCTTCTACGGCGAGAACGAACCAGCCACAGCCTGCCTCCAGCGCCAGATAAAGGAATGGATACAGACATGGCACAAATAAGCACCTGCCCATGAGCGCCTACGACAAGGATTGTACGAAAATCTACAAAGATTCCTGAAGATGAGACCACGTGGACGTTGGAACTCAGTCACAGGACCCATGGGCGCCCTTATCTTATCCTTACAGCAGTTGGGATGGAAGCCACACCGACCTGATGAATGGGAAGATCCAAGAGGCAATTTGTGGAAGTTCCGAGATGACCAGGCCCTGGGCTTTAAGGATATCATGCGTACCATTGCAGCGGACATGGAGGCGCAGATATGGATCAAGGCCGCCGACCACTACTACGGCAAGGGCATGCAGCACGGCATGGACACCACTATGCTCAAGCGCACACTACAGAAGTTACGTAAAGCTGATCGCATACAAGAAGCTGGAGCGCTTGAATCACTGGCATGTGGAGCAATATGGACGGGGCAGCGGTGCAAAGATGCTGGCTACAAAATTGACGGCAAGTGCCCAAGATGTTCCAAAGCGGCTGACACGATCAAGCACAGGATTCACGAGTGCGAAATGAATGACAACTTGAACATAGAGGCCGTCGTCAAGTCAGTCGCTGTGCAGGCGTGCACTGGAAGAAATGTATAACGACCCTGACACAGAGGCGTTCTGGCTACGCGGACTACTTCCTCAACATCGCAACCCAGTCCCATCAGCGCCGGCTTGGGGATCATGGAATGGAAGTTATTGGACAACGGCCACGGCAGGAACCAAAGTATATTCGCAGGAGCTGGTCACCATCAACCCCGTATGTTGCGCGATTGCTTTCGTGGATGGATCAGGCACAGGCAATGACAAGCGCATCGACAGAGTGGGATGGGGACTTACACTTCAGCTACGACAGGGACCGCCAGAACATAGACCAGGACAAGAGAGACTGTGGTGCCAAGACGCACTCTTGGAACAGGGGAGCCTCTCTGAGGCTGTTCGGGACCCTCACCCGATGGGCGTCCAAGCCACGAGTGGGTCTTCGTATGCCATGTTGGACTTCGGCGAAAACCCCCTGCCCAGAGTGACGGCACACCACAGATGGGGAGCCCTTCGGGTGCTGGTCGGGACCCCAGCCCGCTGGATGCAATACCCGCGGATGGACCTTCGTACGCCACGTTGGACTTCGGCGAAAATACCCCAGCAGGTCGCACGGAAATGGGAGGCCAAGTGAAGCAAGTACCGACCGACGAGACCACGGAGCAGCTGCACAAGGATGTGATGAATGACCTCGGAGTCTGGGCAGCGACTTGGACAGTATTCATTGATAACGACGAAGTTCGCAACCACGACAGCTGGAAACTATGGTGCGAGCCGTACATGAAGCAGTTCCTACGCCAACCAGAACAAGCGTGCCTCTTGCAGTTTCTCAAAGCACGGTACCAGACCCGCAGCAGCAGCCAGCTCGCCAAAGATCTATGTGACATCAGATGGCGCACCTCCAAGAGGCGGCGCAAGGATGTATATGACTACTACCTCACGCTCCAAGGATGGGAAAGACAAGCTTACGTCCAACACTGGTTTGACAGCGTCGCCGAAATTAAAGAGAAGTTTCGACAGCTCCTACGCGACCAGGCACCCACCCTCGAAGATGAGTTTCCTGAGTACTATGAGGATAGCGATACGGTAATGGACATGACGAACCCAAGCTACGTCACGCACGTCCTCAATGTGAACAATCAGATCGACATCAGCAACGGCGTCATTGCAGATACCCACCATATCGGTTTTCACGGCACGGTGGATGGAGAACAGAGTGTACCTGCAGCAGAACATGCGGGATTGTTTTGGGCCTTGGCGCTGACGAAAGGGCCGATTACCATCTACACTGACTGCCGGCAATTTGTGAATGGTTGGACCCAGCGGTTTTACGAACATCCTCAAGGTGCCTTGAAGGAATGGTGGGGGCGTATCGGTGCTATGATCAAGAAGCGGCCTGGTGGAGTATATCAGGTGGTTATTATCAAATGTTTATCTCATCTTGACCATGAATCAATCAAGCAGTCCAAACAAGATTTCCAGATCAGCCTTGGAAATGAAATGGCAGATACTCTTGCGCAACGTGGAGCTGAAGAGGCCATGAACGATATACGTGAGGAGGTCAAGCAGCTTACTGAAGTGGAAACATTGTTGATGCGTGTCCAGCGTCGTGCGGCAGCCATCATCTTCGACATGTGCAAGGACGCGGACCCAGCCAAGCTGGACAGGCCCAAGCAGCAGCGGCACAAAGCGTTCCACTTACGACGTGATCAGCGCCTCCAGCTACAAGAAGTTTCTGGACATGATATGAAAACAATGAAAGGACGTTGGGTCTGCCAAGAGTGTTGGAAAACTCCAGGCAAGTATAGTCTTTTTGATTGGTTGAGAACCACTGTTTGTATTGGACGGCAGTATGCAGTACACCGAGCTGATCATGGGCATGCAGTACAGGTACCCAGCAATGAGATGATTGAAATTCAAGATGAAGTGATCCACCCGAGCCACTCGATTTCTGTTGCTCATGGGCAGTTCTGGTGTTGGAATTGTGCAGCGGTGGCGTCACACAGTGATGAAGGACATGGGCGTGTATCCCTTCTGGCAGCGAAGTGCAGAGAGCAGATCACGCAGAGTGGCCAGACACTTTTCCGACGTCTACGCCAAGGGTTACCCCCTAAGGCTGGCCAGAACTGGCCAGATGGCACGGTGCCGCCCAACGGCGGCAAGCTACCACGAGTCGCAGCTGGGCGTCGTCAACGTGTGGCTGCTGAGCGGCGACAACGTGGGTGAGTACGCGGCTCGGGGCTTCGGCCCCGCAGATATACTCTGCCCTGGAGAGGCAGTGAGGTGGAGGCCCGCCCTGTCTCTGGGGCTGGCTCGCGACCTCACGGGGCAGCTGCCCCCAGCTGCCCCGCTGCTCTACTCTGCCCTGGAGTGGCAGTGAGGTGGAGCTCGCCCTGTCTCTGGGGCTGGCTCGCGACCTCATGAGAGCCTGCGCAGCGTGCGCGGGCGCAGGGGCCGCGGCGGCGGAGTCGACCGCGGTGCCCTCTGCTCTCGAGTCCTCGAGTCCTCGAGTCCTCCTCCTCCTCCTCCTCCTCCTCCTCCTCCTCCTCCTCCTCCTCCTCCTCCTCCTCCTCCTCCTCCTCCTCGGCGCAGCTCTCGATCAAACAGTGGCGAAGCGTCTTGGCTTGCGGTAGGCGCCAAGCAGTGTTCAAAGAACCTGTCTGCTGCCTGTGCGAAGTTTTCTTAGAGCAGGTCTGGCTGAGACCGCTGTTGCTTTCGCACGTCGGGCTTCTGTTCTCAGAGCATCGCTGCGGTTCTCAGACCACTTGCTGGCTGCAGGGAGACCTCGCGGCAGGAGTATAGTCGGAGATTGGAACCTATACATTACCAGTGAAGGGCTGCTTTTGAATCCCAGGATTTTTGGAGGGTCGAGGACGACGTCTGGGTGGTGTGGTGAAAAATTGTTTCCCCGTTCCCTTGGGAAGCAATGAAACATGTCTACACCAGGATCCCATATACACCAGGACCCGCTTTATTGCTTGCAAGCTTCAGAGCAGGGCCCGGAGCACGCGTCGGTGTATAGAGAGTCCGGCTCCCCACCTAGGGATGCCCGCACGACCCCGGCTCAACCAGAGGCGCCCGTCGCTCGCGGCGCCGCAGGGCGGGGGAGGGGAGGGGCGGGGAGGGAGGAGAGGCGAGGCTTGCGGGCGGTGTCGTGGGTCCTCGGCGGCTCCCCCGCCTCGGGGTGCCTTCGGCGGCGGCGCCTCGCTCGGGGCGCCCCCTTGGCGCCTGCCTGGGAGCCGAGCTGTGGCCCGAGGCGGGGCTGGGGGGGCGGGGGTCGATGCAGACGGGGGTCCGTCAGAGCGCCGGGTCTTGCAGGATCCTGCGGAGCCAGGGACGCATGGACCCGGGCTTGCGTGCAGGACACTGCAGGATCCTGACGAGAGGGGGGAGGAGGGGGATGATGATGATGATGATGATGATGATGATGATGATGATGATGATGATGATGATGATGATGATGATGATGATGAGGAGGAGGAGGAGAGGAGGAGGAGGAGGAGGAGGAGGAGGAGGAGGAGGAGGATGAGGATGAGGATGAGGATGACGGATGAGGATGATGATGATGAACATGATGATGAATGATGATGATGATGATGATGATGATGATGATGATGATGATGATGATGATGATGATGATGATGATGATGATGATGATGATGATGATGATGATGATGCTGATGCTGATGCTGATGCTGATGCTGATGCTGATGCTGATGCTGATGCTGATGCTGATGCTGATGCTGCTGCTGATGAGGAGTAGGAGGAGGAGGCAGGAGGCAGGAGGCAGGAGGGACTCCCCATCATTCGGAGCTGAGGGCACTGGTACCTCAACGGACAAGTCGCCACTGCCGCCCACCCCTCTTCTTCCTCCTCGTCCTTGCTTGTCCTCCTGCTCCTCCCTCTCTTCCCCAACCCTCCTGTTCCCTCATCCGCCTCCCCTCTACTCCTTCCCTCTCCACCATCACCTCCCCCCTCACGCAGATCCGCAGGGTCAGGGTCCAAAAACACAGGGGATTTGCCACATTTCTGAAATTCGGTGCCACCCCTCACGCAGATCCGCGGGGTCAGGGTCCAAAAACACGGGGGATTTGCAACATTTCTTAAATTCGGTGCCACCCCTCACGCAGATCCGCGGGGTCAGGGTCCAAAAACACAGGGGATGTGCCACATTTTTGAAATTCGGTGCCACCCCTCACGCAGATCCGCGCGGCAGACCGAACCCGAACCCATCCAACCGTGCGCGGGTCCTTCTCCTCCTGCTCCTGCTCCTGCTCCTGCTGCTCCTCCTCTTCCTCCTCCTCCTCCGCCTCCTCCTCCTGCTCCTCCTCCTCCTGCTGGTGCGCACGCGATTGCAGGAGGTTCGGTCGGCGCTGTCGCGTCCCCAGCCCCGGCGCCCGCGGCCCGCCGTAAGGGGGTCGAGGAGCAAGCCCCTTCCTTCCCCTCCTTCCCCCCTCCCTTCCCCTCCCTCCCCCTCCCTCCTCCTCCCTCCTCCCTCCTCCTCCCTCCTCCTCCTGCTCCTGCTCGCCCTCCTCCGTCTGCTCCTCCTCCTCCTCCTCCTTCCCTTCCTTCCCCTCCTCCTCCTCCTCCTCCTCCGCCTCCTCCTCCGCCTCCTCCTCCGCCTCCTCCTCCCTCCTATGTTTCCTGGTTCCCGCCGGGTATATAGTCTTCAGGCGAAGCCACCTCCTCCCCCTCATTCTTTTCCTTCTCCTCATCCTCCTCTTCCTCCTCCCCGTCCTTCCCCTCTGTCCTCCTCCTCCTCCTGCTCCTTTCTCCTCCTCCACCTCCCTCCTCCCTCCTCCTCCTCTTCTTCCTCCCCCCTCCCTCCTCTATTCTCCTTTCCTCCCCCTCCCTCGGACGCCGCGCGAGTTTCGGCTGCCGCCCGCCCGCGGCCCCCCCCGCCGCGCCGCGCCCTGGGCGGGCGCTGGCACCACTGGCGGGCTGCGCGGCAGCCATGGGCGAGGCGACGCCGCCGCCGCCGACGCCGTCGGTCGTCGGTCGCGCTGCCGCGGCCGCCGGCGTCGGTCGTCGCCGCCGCCGCCACGACCGCGGGCGACGCCGACGCCGTCGGCTTGGCATCGCTCGGACGTGTGCATTTTTCCTTCGACGAGGACCATCGAGGAGAATCCATGATCATTTGGCGAAAAAACCACGCACGAAACCGAAAAAAGCACAGGGAATGGACCTCCGAGCGATGGCCAGGTCGGTCGTCGGTCGTCGCCGCCGCAGCCGTCGCGGCGTCGTCGGCGTCGCCGCCGCCGTCTTCGCATTGGGCCACGCCGCCGCCCCCGTCGCTGGCGTTGCCGGCGTCGCCGTCGGCCCGCCGCGGAGGTCGCGAGGCTGGCGGACTCCGACGCGCAGGACTCTGCGGTCGCGCTCGCGATCTCGGACGGGGCCCAGCATGGCAGTTCCAGCGCCGTGGCCGGTGGGCCGCGTAGCACCCAGGTCCAGAGGTGAAAAGTGAAAATCAGGAGGGGAACATACACACAGAAATAATTGATTGTCGATTCCCCAGAAAATGTGGGAAAATATGGGAAGTGGGGGGGAAGACAAGAACCCAGAAGATATAGGAAAATATTGGGAATATTGTGTGTGTTCCAGGGCCCCTTCAGAAAAGGCGAACCATGATATCCAGCCGCGGACCAGGAAGTATTCGGCTCCGAGGGGGGAAGTGGTCTTCGGTCGAGGGTTTTTTTTTTCGAGCGAAGGGGGAACTTCTCTGGAATCTCCCGGGAAATATTTCCGGTCGAGCGAGGACATGTTTTGGTTCAGCGAGGATATGTTCTTGGCCGAGCGAGGATTGTTTCTTTCGGATTTGGATCCTTTTGGATGAGTTCCATTGCTCATTGCGTTGTGCTTTTCGGCGCGAGGTTTTGCTCCATGATTCGGACTCCCTACGGTTGCAGGTCTGGGGGTAGGGGCGTACATTTTACATCGGATGTCGTCGGGTTGGGGCATTCTGGGGTCCGCGCTGAAGCAGGCAGCCTTCGGCGTCACTTGCCTTCCGCTGGAATGCTCCTCGCGGCGCGCGGCTCTTCGGCCGTCCTCAGCGGAAGTCTGCCAAGGTAGGGTGGGCAGAGTGGGCGGGTGTTGTGCTCTATGCCCTCTCACGTCTTGCTTGTTGGTGCTCTCACGCGCGTCGCTTTCTTATCGTGCCTTTTTTCTGTGCGTAGGGTTGTTCCTGTTCTTCGCGTGTGCTCAGGCTGTCGCGACGGCAGCTGATTCCGTTTTTGGGCGGTCGGGCGGGGGGGGGTTCTGACCTTGGTTTTCGCCGCGCGCTCGTTCGCTGCAGGCGGCGCCTCGTCGAGCTGTCTCAGAGACTCCCTTGGCTTCCTGGCACTACCCGTGCGCTTTCTTCCACGATTTCTGCGCGCGTGTGTGTGCGTGTGTGTGTGTGTGTGCGTGTGTGTGTGTGTGTGCGTGTGTGTGTGTGCGTGTGTGTGTGTGTGCGTGTGTGTGTGTGCGTGTGTGTGTGTGTGTGTGCGTGTGTGTGTGTGTGTGCGTTTGTGTGTGTGCGTGTGTGTGTGTGTGTGCGCGTGTGTGTGTGTGTGTGCGTTTTGTGTGTGTGCGTTTTTGTGTGTGTGTGTGTGCGTTGTTGTTGTTTTTGTTGTTGTTGTTGTTGTTATTGTTGTTGTTGTTGTTGTTGTTGTTGTTGTTGTTGTTGTTGTTGTGTGTGTGTGTGTGTGTGTGTGTGTGTGTGTGTGTGTGTGTGTGTGTGTGTGCGTGTGTGTGTGTGCGTGTGTGTGTGCGTGTGTGCGTTGTGTGTGTGCGTTTGTGTGTGCGTGTGTGTGTGTGCGTTTTGTGTGTGTGTGTGCGTTTTTGTGTGGTGTGTGTGCGTTGTTGTGTGTGTGTGTGTGTGTGCGTGTGTGTGTGTGTGTGCGTGTGTGTGTGTGTGTGTGCGTGTGTGTGTGTGCGTGTGTGTGTGTGTGTGCGTGTGATGTGTGTGTGCGTGTGTGTGTGTGTGTGTGTGTGCGTTTGTGTTGTGTGCGTTTTGTGTGTGTGTGCGTTGTTGTTGTGTTTTGTTGTGTGTTGTTGTGTTGTTGTTGTTGTTGTTGTTGTGTGTGTGTGCGTGTGTGTGTGTGTGCGTTGTGTGTGTGTGTGCGTGTGTGTGTTGTGTGTGTGTGTGTGCGTGTGTGTGTGCGTTTTTGTGTGTGTGTGTGCGTTGTGTGTGTGTGCGTTTGTTGTGTGCGTGTGTGTGTGTGCGTTTTGTGTGTGTGTGCGTTTTTGTGTGTGTGGCGTTGTGTGTGTGTGTGTGTGCGTGTGTGTGTGTGTGTGTGTGTGCGTTTGTGTGTGTGCGTTTGTGTGCGTGTGTGTTTGTGTTCGTGTGTGTGTGTGCGTGTGTGTGTGTGCGTTTTTGTGTGTGTGTGCGTTTGTGTGTGTATGCGTGTGTGGGTGTGTTTGTGCGTACTTGTATTCGTGTGTGTGTGTGTGTTCGTGTGTGTGTGTGTGTCCGTATGTGCGTGTGTTTGTGTGTGTGCGTGTGTGTGTGTGTGTGTGTGGCAGGCGCGTGCCGCGCTGCCAGGCCTCAGACGTCGTGCGCGTTCCGCAGCGTGGCTCCCCGGAGGCCTCGACCCCCTCCCCGCGACCGGCCCCCTTCTCGTCCTGAGGCAGCCTGTGTGAAATCGGGCCTGTCCCTCCAATGGGTCTACAGTGGAGACCATGCCAAGAAGCACCCTGCTTGCCTCCAGGGTGCCCTGGGTTTCTTGGGTTTCGATGGCTTTACGATGGGAAGCGCCACGTTCCCACACCAAAAATCGATAGATGTCTTGGGGTCTCAGGGTTGGGTTTCTTGCGGAAGGTTTCTTGTGGACTGGCCTCCACTGTAGGCCTCCTAGATGGGGTCCGAGTAGATGGGGTCGGAGGATCGCGCTGCGTCGCCGATGCATCGCCGATGCGGCTTGCTGCGGAAGCCAATTTCCTTCACGCGCACGTGAACGATGCATCGCCGACGTCGCCGATGCATCGCCAATACATCGCCGATGCATCGTCGATGTATCGCCGATCGGCGCGATCCTCCGACCCCGTCTACTCCGACCCCATCTAGGAGGCCTCTAATGGGGGAATCTTCAAAAAGAGTCCGAAACGAGTCTGGTGACGGACTTTTGCCTCTTTCCTGCAAAGTTTCGTCATAGTCGACCCACAGATCAAGGATGGGCAACCTTCCCAAGGGTACCCTTGCATCCGTGCCTCCTCGGTCCATCCTTCGCCGCTTTCGCTGGCCGCGCCCCGCTCGAAGAGCTTCGACATGGCGTCCAAGGCCCTTGCATCCTCATCGCGCATCCTTACTATACTGGTTGATTGTATTTTTTGATGACATCAAATCTTCCCCCCCAGAGGAGGCATCCTCAAAAAAAGTCCGAAACCAGTCTGGTGACGGATTGCTGCGCATTTCCTGCAAAGTTTCAGCATTGTTGGATGATGTTTCATCTTCCCCCCCAAACATTTTTGATTCGCGGGTCGAGAGCGCACCTCTTCCGGTCTAAGCAATAAGCGTGCCGCGCAGAGCGTGAATTACGCAGAGAAGGGGGGAGGAGAAGAAGTGCGCAGCCTCAGCACGAGGCCGGGAGGAGGCAAAGCTTCAGAACCAGGCGGTGTCGAAGCCGACGATTTTTCAGAGCCCCGAATCATCAGGGGTAACTCGGGTCAGGGCTAACTCGGGTTCGTTTTTTTCGGGAATCCGAACCCGACTTACCCCGGACCCGAGTTACCCCGGATAACTCGGGCGTCCAGAGCCCCACATCATCAGGGGTAACTCGGGTCAGGGATAACTCGGGTTCCTTTTTCGGGAACCCAAACCCGAGTTACCCCGGACCCGAGTTACCCCGGATATCTCGGGCGCCCAACAAAGTTTCGGAGCCAGGCGGTGTCGAAGCCGACGAACTTGCCAAGGCTCCCCCCCCCAAAACGGTCAGCCTGCAGGAGGACGTGCCCGACCCAGAGCGTGGACGGCCCCCGGGGCCGCCCGGCGCGTGCCCCCCTGGAGGGCGCCTGCAGCTGCAGGCAGAGTTGCTCGAGTGTAGCATTACGTCGGGCGTGCCCCTCCACAAGGACAATTGAAAATAGTCAAAAAAATAGCAACATAGTCAAAGTAGTCAAAATTCAAACTAGTCAGAAAATTATAAAATAGTAAAAAAATAATCAGGGGGCGATTGTTGGACTATTGTTTAGCATTTTGGGGGTATGTTTCGAGTATGCCTTATTTTTCGCGGGCAATCCCCCTGTAGGGGAACACGCCCGCCTCAAGGGTAGCAACACGCTGACCAGGACCGAGGCGCCGCAGGGATCTCGTCGGTGCCAATCGCGGGAGGAAAAACACACACAGACAATGAATCGTTGATTCCCCCGGAACGGTGGGAAAATATGGAAGTGGGGGGGAGGGAAGACGAAAGCCCAGAAAATATTGGGAAAGATGGAGAATCCTGTTATTTGTGTTTATTTGTTTGTGTGTCCCAGGGCCCCTTCAGTCCATGCTGGCTGGCTCGGTGGCCACACGTGAACACTGCCCCCACCCCACCCGATTTCTGAGGGGGGGTGGGGGTTCATTTCGTTCGGGAGGTCCCGAGCAGAGTGAACCCCCACCCCCCTTTAGAAGTCGTGGGGGCTAGGGGTAGGGTTCACAAGTGGCCACCTACTGGCCGTTGCCGATCGGTGAGGATAATATCCACGACTCGACGGTGACCATAGTGGATGGCGACCAAGCTCGGCACACGACGTCTCCGCGAGCAGTCTTGGTCATGGTCCCCATTTTCCTCTTCATACGCCCCCTGAGATCCTTCAGCTCAGCGATCTGGCCCCTGAGCGTCTCCATGGCGACAGGGGAGGCGAGGATTACTGAACTGATGGATTTCGGTGTCCTGGCATACCGAAATCCATCAGTTCAGCAATCCTCGCCCTCCCAGTCGCCATGGAGACGCTCAGGGGCCAGATCGCTGAGCTGAAGGATCTCAGGGGGCGTACTCCAGTTGCCCGTCGTGACGCTTGTCACGCCGCGAGGGGCTCCGGCCCAACCCCATCGAGGTGTTCGGGTTAAGTCGGGCTTGTCGTTCTACAGGAGGAATGCTCAGAATTAAGATAGTCAAAAATTACTCTGGGAGCAATTTTTCAGTATCTGTTGACTATTTTTGCATATGTTTGACTATGTTTCATCCGTAAGGGCTTCGCCCCCTACCGCCGGCCCCCTCAAACGGATAGTGGGCAATGCAAGAGCGAAGTCATGAGGCCTTGGCGCCGCCGTGAAGCAGCGTCGGGACTTCACGCGAAGACGATGAGTCATCGGCAAGACAAATTGAGATTCTGATGATATTGTTGAATTCGGTGTTGTATTTGGAGCTTGCTCGCGTATGCTGTGCAAAAATCTGTTTTACGAAGTATTGAAATGTTACAAATCCATGTGTTTTTTGACCCTGACCCCGCCGATCTGCGTGAGGGGTGCCACCGAATTTCAAGACATGTGGCACATCCAATATTTTTGTTCGACCCTGACCCCGCCGATCTGCATGAGGAGTGCCACCGAACTTCAGAAATGTTGCAAATCCCTTGTGTTTTTGGATTCTGACCCCGCCGATCTGCGTGAGAGGCGCCGCCGATTGTCAGAAATCTGGCAAATCCCATGTGTTTTTAGACCCTGACCCCGCCGATCTGCAAGAGGTGCGCCGCCGAATTTCAGAAATGTGGCAAATCCCATGGGTTTTTGGACCCTGACCCCGCCGATCTGCGTGAGGGGTGCCACCGAATTTCAAGACATGTGGCAAATCCAAGCTTTTTGTTCGATCCTGACCCCGCCGATCTGCATGAGGATTGCCACCGAACTTCAGAAATGTTTCGAATCCTTTGTGTTTTTGGACCCTGACCCCGCCGATCTGCGTGAGGGGTGCCACCGAATTTCAGAAATGTGGCAAATCCCATGTGTTTTTAGACCCTGACCCCGCCGATCTGCAAGAGGCGCGCCGCCGAATTTTAGAAATTTGGCAAATCCCATAGGTTTTTGGACCCTGACCCCGCCGATCTGCGTGAGGGGTGCCACCGAATTTCAGAAATGTGGCAAATCCCATGTGCATTTGGACCCTGACCCCGCTGGTCTGCGTGAGGGGTGTCAATGGCGACCCTCCCAGAAACTCTGAGACCCTTCTCGGGAGGTGCTAACCAGGATTTTTCGGCTCCCCCCCTCGCGCGGTCTAGCAACAAGAAGCAGAACTGTAACAGTGGAAACTGGAAACTGGAACCAGCGCAGGGAACAGCAAACCCTGAGCCTACAGCCTGGTAGCCTCATAAGGGTGCCGGCGGATGCTCTTTCAAAAACCGCTTGTAGGGGGACATGCCCGACTTCATGTTCGGGTCACAATTCGGCTCCCCGGCGGCCGCTCGAGCCGAGCCGGGCATACCCCGGAACGCTCTCCGCAGGGCGCAGACGCTGGAGAGCACCCTCAGGCTGGAAGACCGCGGAGAACTGACAGACACGCCCGAAAACCTCGAGACGCGTCGGCGGCGAGCGAGAGGGGAAGGGAAACGGAGAAGGCCTTCTCAGAAGGCGGCGGGACGTCTCAGAAACTCTCGCGCCTCCTGAGCAGTTTTCTGTGTCTCCAGGGAAGGCTCAGAAGACTTTTCGGAAGGCCAGGGAACTTCCGAGCCCTCTGAGAAGGTTCGGACGGGGCTAGGACGAGGGTAATTAAATCCATTCCAGCACGCTCTCAGAGCATTTCGGAACGCTCCGAGATAGCCGCGGCGCCCGATACCTCCGCAAGAGCCGCGGGGTCTCAGAGATTCTCGATGTATCTTCACCCGAACTGATCCTCGTCCTGGCGTCGTTTTGCGTCAAGGCCTCCTCGCTTCCCCGATCGAGGCTCGCCGCCGACAGAGGCGCGTGTCAAGTCGGACATGTCCCTATACAGGAGGAATAGTGTAAGAAGAGAAAGACTAGTCTGGTTACGATGCTTCGCGCTCCTTTGACCATTTCTGATTGTGTCTTGACTCTGCTTCGTTTCTCTTTCAAGATCCGCCTGTAGGATTATGATGTTCCGACCTACTTGAGCCTCGATCACCAACAAGAATTTCGAGCACCAAGAAAGTGCCGGAACTGGGATTTTTTTAGTATCGGGCTCTGGGGGGCGACCTCGTTCCGACATTGTTTCGACATTTTCTGGGTGCTCGAAATCATTTCTGTGATGTGGCCTTTAAAAGTACGATGGGAACAACATCACCGTAGGAGGACATGCCTGGCCTGAGGATCGTGGCCGAAGGCGGCGACGAAAAGAGCCGGGGGGTCCTCGGTGGCTAGCGAGGGGAGGAAGTGAGAAGGAGAAGACTTTCTCAGAAGGCGGCGGGACTTCTCAGAAGCCCCCGCGCCTTCTGAGAAGTTCTGTTAGTCTTCGAGGAAGGCTCAGAAAACTGATCGGAAGGCCGGGGGACTTCCGGCCCTTCTGAGGAGGCCTTCTTCTTCTCCCTTCCCCCCCTCGCTCGCCGCCGAGCTCCCTTGGCATCGCTCGGACGTGCGCACTTTTCCGTCGGCGAGGGCCATCGAGGAGCATCCTTGATCATTTGGCGAAAAAGCCACTCACGAAACCGAACAAAAACACAGGGAATGGACGTCCGAGCGATGGCGAGTCTCTCTTGGGCCTCTTGTGGGGCCCTCTTGGGCCATCTTGGAGCCATCTTGAGGCCTTGGATGGCCATCGGAAGCGAAACGGGGAGAAAGCAAACAACATTGATTTCCTCAAGGATTTTGGGACGATTTTGGCCTCTTCGGGCCCTCCTTGGGGAGCTCTTTGGCCACTTGGAGCCGTCTTGGGGCCGTCTTTGGGCCTCCTGGAACCGTCTTGGGAGCCATCTTAAGCGATCTGGCGCTATCGAGCCACCGCCCGAGGCTCTCGGCGCGCTCGCGCGCCTGAGCGCGGGCTGCTGCACGGAGCTCGGCGGGCCCACCGGCCACGGCTCCAGCAGCTCGCTCGCGGCGGGCGCCAGCCAGGAGCGTCGGCGCGGTCGAGAGAGGCGCTGTGCTTCCCCCCCCCTGCTGCTCCTCCTCCTCCTCCTCCTCCTCCTCCTCCTCCTCGTCCTCCTCCTCCTCCTCCACCTCCTCCTCCACCTCCTCCTCCTCCTCCTCCTCCTCCTCCTCCTCCTCCTCCTCCTCCATCGTCCGCCCTCGTTCATGCGCCCATTCGCGCCCAACCCTGGGAGCGCCGGTGCGGTCGAAAAACGCACCTTTCTCGGAAGTTGGAACATATTCGGAAATTGGAACATATACATTACCAGTGGCGGGGTTTGTTTCAATTCCACGAATTTTTGAGGGTCGGGGACGACGTCGGAGTGGTGTGGTGTATACTCATCCCCCGTTTTCCAAGGGAAGCAACGAAAAATGTATACACCAGGATCCCGTATACACCAGGACCCGCGTTCCTGTGTGAATTTCAGCGCAGGGTTGGAAACAGCGTCGGTGTATAGAGCTCGTTTCCCTACACATGCATTGCCAGTGGCGGGCTGCTTTTCAATCCCAGGATTTTTTGAGGGTCGGGGGCGACGTCGGGGTGGTGCGGGGTATACTTGTTGAATCCGTTTCCCGGGGAACCAGCGAAGCATGTATGCACCAGGATCCCGTAGTTGTGCACCAGGATCCGCTTCCCTGCTTGCGAGCTCCAGTGCAGGGCCGAGAAAAGCCTCGGTGCATAGAGCTCGGTTCCTTCTCTTCCCGCCTCCAACTCTGCCGCCCCCCCCTGGCAGTAAGCCGGGCTCTGTCCCTCTACAGGGGGGATCGTCAAAAATAGGAAAGACATAGTTTGGAGACTATTTGTTTTTTAGAATTTTTTGACCATTTTGGGAGTATTTGTCTCGTCGTATTTCTTGAGCATGTTTTGATTATTTGTTGAGTGTTTTGTCCGAGTATGCCTTATTTCTCGTCGACAATCCCCCGGTAGGGGGACAGGCCCGACTTGGCCCTGGCAGAGGCCGCCGCGGTCGGGAGGGGCCGGGGGAGCCCGGCCCTCCCGGGGCCCGCCGCGCGAGGCTCCCGGCCCAGGCGTCCATCGGGGGTCCCCAGACGGGGTGGTGACCTCCTCCTCCTCCTCCTCCTCCTCCTCCTCCTCCTCCTCCTCCTCCTCCTCCTCCCTCCTCCTCCTCCTCCTCCTCCTCTCTCCTCCTCCTCCTCCTCCTCCTCCTCCTCTTCTCTCCTCCTCCTCCTCCTCCTCCTCCTCCTCCTCCTCTTCACTCCTCCTCCTCCTCCTCCTCCTCCTCGGTGGGGATTCGGGGTCACCGCACGGTTTTGGGACTCGGGTCGTTCTCCGAGGACGTCTCGGGCGACGGGGGCCTCCCGGGTCCCAAGACCGTGCGGTGACGGACCATGCGGTGAGGTCCTGGGGGATGTCGAGGTCACCGCACGGTCTGTCACCGCACCGTTTCGGGACTCCGAAGTCCAGCGTCGCCGCGCTGGTGCGCGGCGTCGCTGCCCAGAGGTCTGGGCTTGAATCGGGCCCGTCCCTCTAGAAGAGGATTCTTCAAAAATAGCCAAAACATAGTGTGAGGATTATTTGCGCAGTATTGTTTGACCTTTTTGGAATATTCGGGGGCGGCAAAGAGTGGGGTGATGACTATTGAAAAAGAGATCGGGCCCGTCCCTCTACAGGAGGACTATTCAAAAATAGTCAAACAATAGTATGAGGATTATTTTCGGGGGCGGCAAAGAGGGGGGGGGGTTCATGGCGGGGGCCATGACATTTCCCCAGATTTCAGGGCGCCTCTTCTTGTTTCATTACGTCCCTGGCCCCCCCTGGGCCGTGCACATGCCGCCGGTCATGACTTGCACCCCCCCCTCTTGGACGCCCCCCTCTTGGCCGCCCCCGACCAAAAGGTCTGGGCTTAAATCGGGGCCGTCCCTCTACAGGAGGACTATTCAAAAGTAGTCAAGACATAGTATGAGGATTATTTGTTGAGTATTTGTTTGACCATTCTGGAATATGTATGTTTTGCGTATTTTTTGTTTTCCTCGAAAATCCCCCTGTAGGGGGACACGCCCGACTTCAGTCTGGGCCGCCTCCCAGGGTTCGTTTCGATTCCTCCGATTCGATCCCATTCGATTTCGATGGCTTCCGATTCCGATCCGATTCAACTTGGGATTCCGGTGTGGGTTCCGGTTTCTCCAGGAGGCATTACTATTCTGCCGATTTCCGCCGATTCGACTCCTCCTGATTTGGCTGCCGACCTCCGCCAATCCGATTCATTTCGATCGCCGATCCGACTTGTCGATGCGATTTGGGACTCTCCTGCCTTCTCAGTACGAGTACGGTCGGTCCGAGGTGTAAGGTCGAGGTCGGTTCGGGGAGGATACCCTCGTGTTCTTCGTGTTTGTTGGATGCTTGTGTGCATCCTGGGGGCGGACACCCTCAGATGTTCTGTCTGGTCTGGCCGGCGAAGGGTCTCATGTTCTTGAGGGATGTTTTTCTGGCCTACGTCTGGCTGCACAGAAGAATGAAGGCCCAGAGATCAATGCGTTGAAAATTTTCAGACGGAGGTTTCTCTCCGTTTTCGGCCTCTAGGGGCCCTCGCTGGGCCCCGGGACTGTTAAAGAACGGCTCAGGATGAAAAGCTGGTCCCAGGGGAAAGGGTCGAGACTTCCGGAAACCCCACATCGAACTATCAAGGCATCGGATCTCTGGGGTCGAGCAACAGCATGTCTTGTCCATGTTGACAAGGGACTCGCTCTCAGCCTGGCCGCGGGCGTGGCCCATTTGAGACGCAAGCCCGCCTGCCCAACAGCGGCCGGATAACATGTGCTGTTGTTCGACAAAAACTTTTGGCGCTCCGCTCCGCGTTGGGACCCCCGGCGGTGCCTCCGCGCGTCAGGGATGGGGGATCCAGCGCAGATCCAAGAAATCTGCGCGGAGCGCCAGCAGTTTATGCTTATGTAGTTTATGTTTCTTCTTCTTATTCTTTTTCTTCTTCTTCCTCTCGTGCACTGTGCTCACTTTCTCGGTGCCCCCTGCGGGCGTGCCAAGGAGTCGAAGGCGAGATCGGTGGCCAACTGGAAGCGCGGCGCCAAGGCCGCACGGGGGGGGGACCGGGCGGCCGCGTCCGCGGGGGCGGGGCGATCGGAGGCAGCGGCAGCTGGCCATCCGGGGGGGGGGCCCTCGTCGCCACGCTTGGACGCGGCTCGGGAAACTGGGTGCGTTTGGAACCCGGGAAGGGGACCGACTTTGAGCCGATCTTGAGTTTCCAGTGCCTCAATTCGCCCTTCTCACAACGGGCAACGCACGGTATAGCATAAACTTGTTTCGCTGTCGGGGGGCGCCTGTCCCAGGGCGGCTGGAAAGCTTATGCCCTTACGGTGGCGCGTCAAGGCACAAACTCTCCAGCAGCCCAGGGGCAGCGCCCCCGGTGACGGAGCAGTTTATATTTCATGCCGTTCTCTGCCCGCCGATTCGCCGAATGCCGAGCGGTGAGTTCACGCTGCGTCTCCGGGGGGCCTCGCCTGTCCCCAAGAGGCGGCGGCTTCTACTACTACTACTACTACTACTACTACTACTACTACTGCTACTGCTACTGCTACTGACTACTACTACTACTACTACTACTACTACTACTACTACTACTACTACTACTACTACTACTACTACTACTACTACTACTACTACTACTACTACTACTACTACTGCTACTACTACTACTACTACTACGACTACTACTACTACTACTACTCTACTACTACTACTACTACTACTACTACTACTACTACTACTACTACTACTAACTACTACTACTACTACTACTACTACTACTACTACTACTACTACTACTACTACTACTACTACTACTACTACTACTACTTACTACTACTACTACTACTACTACTACTACTACTACTACTACTACTACTACTACTACTACTACTACTACTACTACTACTACTACGACTAAAGCTACGATTACTACTACTACGGCTTCTCCTGCGCCAGACGCGGGCTCGGTGCGGGAGACTGGACGCAGCTCGGGACGCTGGCACGTCCTTGGCATCGCTCGGACGTGTGCCTTTGTCCCTCGGCGAGGGCCATCGAGGAGCATCTTTGATCACTTGGCGAAAAAGCCACGCACGAAACCGACAAAAAAAACACAGGTCATGGACGTCCGAGCGATGGCGAGCGTCTGGGTCCCGAGGCGGAGCCTGGGACCGACGGAGATCCCGCCGCCCCCGCTCGCCCTGTGTCCGACGAGGGGCTCCTGCGGCGGACAACCCGCCGCCCCCTGGCCTCTGTGGGAGCGCCAGCCCGGGGGGTCAAGCGGTGGGCCAGAGCCTGGCCACGCTGTGGGATACAGTATCCGGCCTGACCTAAGGAACGATAAATAAGGAACGAAGCCCCTTTTTTCCAAGTACGTCTATGAAGTTCGACGGAGTGCCAGAGGGGTTCGCCGCCAAGAAGGTAGCGGAACGCATGCAAACCAGACGAACGACCGAGCCCCTTTTGAAAAGCAAGTGTTCCTCATTCAAGCCGGACCCTGTAGCATGTTCCTGCCAGCCGCTGTGGAGCCCCCTGGGGGGAGGGGGTCGCTCGGAAGGGAAGAGGGGGAGGATCAGGAAAGAGCGCGGAGTGTGATGGGGGAGAAGAGGGAAGAGGGACCCCCCCTTGACCGCCGGAATCAAAAACAAACCGCCGGAAACCACCCAAACCGCCGGAAATCACCCAAACCGCTGGAAAACACTTCCCGCCGGGAACTTCTGTTCTTCTTTTCCCGCTTGCCCCGCCGGCTCCAAAATCCACAGAGACGGTAATTGTAAGATTGTGTCTCCGTAGACGTCCTGGGTCAGTTAAGTGTTTGTTTCAGAATGCTGACTTGGCTCAACGGAACCAGACCTCCTGATAGGAGCCACGACGATGAAATAATTTTGCAGGTCTGGCTGGCTTCTCATCAATGTTCCAGAGACGTGTTCAACCGAGTTCGTCAGGAGATCGCCCAAGGCAGACCACCTGCAGATGTTTCGCGTCAGCCAGTGTCTTTGAACTGCGCGGCAAAACATCTAGCGGCCCCCAGCTTATTTCGCCACGGTGCCTGGTTGTTTGGGTCAGATGTTCTTCGATTGGATCGAGGACCGTTGAGGATTGAGACCCAGGGAGACGACCTTAGGATACGCCTTGCCCGTGCCCCAGGGCACGGCGGCGGATAAATTGCGGACATAAGATGATTACAAAAGAAGGGGACAGGTCTCCAGCACCACCACCAGCTCCGCCAAGCGAGTTTGAAGAAGAGCCGCTGCAACCACAAAAAACAACAAAGAAAAACAGAATCCTGAAGAGCCGACCTCCCTCGCCAGACGCATCTCCAGAACTGGATCCGCCCTCCGCGCCGCCCGCCCGGTTCCCTGACCCCGCCTGGCCAAGAGGACGTGGACGCCAAAGCGGCTGAGCAGGCAACGACGAGCAATTACAAGGCCATTCTTGACGGTGTCTTCACTGTTGCAGGAGGTACCGAAAGAGATGGTTAGAGGAAGTGGGGCCAGGATGATGCTTGTCGGATCGCGAGAATAGACGGACCATGCAAAAGAGGAGTTGGCGCGCGGTACGCCCAATGTGATATAAACACAACTTGCCCTGTGCGGTATGTTTTGCATGTTGGCGAAGACTCATTCCAGGTTTTAGTTAATAACCTTGAGCACGGTGGAAGGGTTCGAGCCGCAAAAACACAGAGGATTGAACTACCAGGCGTGCCGCCAATCATTGTGGAACAGTTGGCCGACATCAAAAACATAATGCAGCAATTTGGGAATCACGTCGCGCCAGAGTTGGTTCACGACAAAATGACTGTTGCTGCCCCTGGGGACGTCATACAGAGAGCAGTTCACAAATGACGAGCAGCGTGTCCCCAGAAGCGGTTTACGAATGTTGCTTGCCTCGATGCTTGGGCGAGGGAGCAGTATGCGAATTTAGATGACGCCGCAGCACCGCCCGGAAACGCCAAGGATCAGCAACACAAGTGTTTTTTTGTTCACAGCGTGGTACCTCTTAGAACACGCTGTAGATCAAATCCCCTTGCTTCGCGTATTCCGCGAGTCCGGGGGCTCTCTTTGGGGCATACGAGGGGGTGTTCTTTGCTATGGTTGCCATTTGGGGCGGCTTCATGTCATATTGCCGTATTGGGCGATTTCGTGCTCAGATTACCGTTTGGCGCGACTTCGTGCTCAGATTGCGGTTTGGGGCGATTTCGTGATTAGATTGCCCTTCTGCTGGACGATTTCGTGTTCAGACTGCCGCGTTAGATTGCCGTTTGGGGCGCTTGGTGATGAGATTGCCGTTCGGAGCGATTTTCGTGCTCAGATTGCCGTTCTTGGCGATTTCGTGCTCAGATTGTCATTTGGTGCGATTTCGTGTTCCACGCAACAATCTGAACGCGATACCGACCCGAACAACAATCTGAACGCGGAGTCGCCCCAGACGACAATCTGAGCACGACATCGCCCCAAAATGCAATCTGAGCACGAAATCTGCCCAAATGGCAATCTGATCACGAAATCGGCCCAGAACGGCAGTCTGAGCACGGCACCGCCCCAAACGGCAATATGAGCACGAAATCGCCCAGAACGGCAGTCCGAGCACGAAATCGCTCCCACCTGCAATCTGACCACGATGTCGCCCCAAACGGCAATCTGAGCGCGGCATTATTCAGAATGGCAATTTGAACGCGAAGCCGCCCCAAATGGCAATCTGAGCACGAAATCGCCCAGAACGGCAATCTGAGCACGCAATCGCCCAAAACGGCAATCTGAACACGAAATCATCCAAAAAAGCAGTCTGAGCACGAAATCTGCCCAAACGTCAATTTGATCACGCAATCTCCCTAAACGGCAATCTGAGCACGAAACCGCCCCAAACAGCAGCGTGAGCACGAGACCGCCCCAAGCGGCAATCCAAACACGAAATCGCCCCAAGCGGCCATTTGAGCACGAAATCGCTCCAAACGACAACCTGAGCGATTCTTGCAGATCCGAGCACGCGTTTGGCCCGCAGAGCCGGCGAACTTATGACGTCGATGGCTTCATTTCCATGAGTGGTCCCGCGCACAAAATGGGCAAGGTTACAAACTTGGCGTTTTCGGTGTTCTTGTCTACCGCTACGATTCAAAAGAGCAACGGTATCGAGAGCATTTTCAGGCTTTCGGTTTTATTGAATCAATGGAGGAGGAAGCCACCGATCATTCAAGCCATGTGGATGTTATTGCGAAGGCGCCAATATTTGCACAATGTCACAGCGATTTCTCGAAAGCCAGCAGCCGTGTCATCGAGGACACGTGCCCGCATGTCCCTCATATCAACGATTTGGAACATTTGGAGCGCTCTCAAAGATCACCAAGCCCGTGGAGATGTGAATGCTAGATAGCCAGGCGAAGTCGAGATTGTGACTGCAGCTTGTTACCTCACAGCTTATTTAGCGCAGCTGCATTTCATGTATTCATCTATCTATACTGGAAAACAACATTGCGTCATTGGGAGATCACCTATGCTGCGGACGATTTCGTGCCCAGATTGCCCTTGGATGGCCGTTTGGGGCGCGTGGGTGTTAGATTTCCACTGTGTGTTCACATTGCCGTTTTGTGCGTTTCGGCGATTACCGTGCCGGCAGCACATAGAACACAGGCGCAGCTGTTGTATATCTGTTTTCTATGGAGGACATCTGCCCGTCGCGCGCGGCGGTTTCCAGCGGGTTGAATTTTCTAGCGGTTACGAGGGGTCTGAGGGGGAGGAGGAGGAAGAGGAGGAGGACGAGCAGGAGGAGGAGGAGGAGGAGGAGGAAGAGGAGGAGGAGGGGGAGGAGGAGGAGGAAGAGGAGGAAGTCGAGGAGGAGGAGGAGGAGGATCAGCACGTGGTGGGGGGCGGAGATCGTCCACCCGATGGCCTGGCGTCCTCCTGTTGGGACGTGGCCTCCTGGCGCTGATGGCACAAGAAATCTGGCAGCCCTTGCGGGGGCAACTGTACCTCGAGGGGGTGAAAGAGTTGTTTCTGGGGTGCTTACCCTTGCCGAGCAGATTCCACTGAGTTCGAGCGCCTGGCCGCTTG